CACCATGACACCAATGTCACCTACCAATTGACCTTACTGAGGTCCCATGTGACCACAGAAATAACCATTCAGCTCATTGTCTCCTTGTGAGTTTGGGCCACAACTTCTAGGTTATTGTGAGTAATAACAAGAGAGTCAGGGCCTGAGGCAAATGGAACTGAGGACTGGATTCCGACAGGGATAGGGGGCCAAGAGGACGCTAAAATGGAAACTAACTTCAAAACTGAAGAGGAACATATTGCCTTCTGAATTCAGATGCTCCACAGAACCTGACCATCGGTGTCTTCCGTGGAAATAATACAGGCAGGAGAGACCTTCTCCTTTGCAATGCTGTGATGGAGGGACAAGGTGTCCACGGCACTTCAGAATAGAGTCAAAATCTCAGAGCTTGAATGGTAAGAGGGCTGAGATCAGAAATGCAGAATGTAGATATTAGAAAGCACCCTAGATCCTGTCCCCAATTATCAGCCCCTACTCTCACCACCATAACAAAGACCTTCTTGTCGAATCTTATGGAGACTTGCATCCTCACTTCTATAGGTCAAATCTTATGGAGACTTTGCATCCTCACTTCTATGGGTCACTTGGAGGGATCTTTTTTTTTTTTTGGCAGCTGATTTCTTCTTAAACTTCTCAGCTCCCTCCCCAAGAGGATCTTTTGTTTTGGCAGCTGACTTCTTCTTAAACTTATCAGCTCCCTCCCCAAGAGCCAAATTCAAAGATCAGATGTTGCCTTTGAAGATCCCTCTTGATCCTATATCTTCACCCAGCCTCGCCTCTTTAGTTTACAATACTTTCACTTTAATTATTTTCCCCTGGCAATTTATTTGCATGGTCTCATGTATTCAAAGGGTTCAAAAGAGCATGTAGTAGAATGTACCTCTGCTCCTCACCCCAGTTTCCTAGTTTTCTTCACTCAAGTCATTCATTCTAAACTGTATCTTATGTGTTTATCCAGAGATATTTATGCATATATAAGGATATTTCTATATCTATCTCTATGTGTAGATATAAATATAGATTTTGTGTGAGCATTTTTTGTGTCTTTTTTTTAAGACATGAAGCATTCTACATACATTTTGCATCTCGTTTTCTAAATTAACAATAATTATTGAAAATCTTTCCATGTTAGTAGATAAATAACGTCATCCATTTTTTTTTACAACTGCAAAGTATTCCACGGCACATGTGTACTTCTTAATCCTTTCACCTTTTTCACCCATCTTCCCTCCCATCTGGTAACCATCAAAATGTTGTCTGTATCTGCGTATCTGTTTCTGTTCAGCTTGTTTGTATTCTTTGTTTTATAGATTCAATGATTGATAGATATGTATTTATTGCCATTTCATTGTTTATCTTTTTTATCTTTTCTTTTTTATTCTTCTTCTGAAAGAACACCCTTCAACATTTCATATAATACTAGTTTGGTAGTGGTGAAGTAACCATCAAAATGTTGTCTGTATCTGCGTATCTGTTTCTGTTCAGCTTGTTTGTATTCTTTGTTTTATAGATTCAATGATTGATAGATATGTATTTATTGCCATTTCATTGTTTATCTTTTTTATCTTTTCTTTTTTATTCTTCTTCTGAAAGAACACCCTTCAACATTTCATATAATACCAGTTTGGTAGTGATGAACTCTAGCTTTTTCTTGCCTGGGAAGCTCTTTATATGTCCTTCAATTCTAAATGATAGCTTTGCTGGGTAAAGGAATCTTGGTTGTAAGTCCTTGCTTTTCATCACTTTGAATATTTCTTGCCACTCCCCTCTGGCCTGCAAAGTTTCTGTTGAGAATTCAGCTGACAGTCCTGTGGGAGCTCCCTTCTAGGTAACTAACTGCTTTTTTCTTGATGCTTTTAAGATTCTCCATTTTCTTTAACCTTTGCCATTTTAATTATGATGTGTCTTGGTGTGGGCCTCTTTGGGTTCATCTTATTTGGGACTCTCTGTGCTTCCTAGACTTGTATGTTTTATTTCCTTTACCAGGTTAGGAAAATTTTTCTGTCATTATTTTTTCAAATAGGTTTTCAATTTCTTGCTCTCTCTCTTCTCCTTCTGGCAATTCAATAATGAGAATGTTGGTATGCTTGAAGTTGTCCCAAAGGCTCCTTACACTATCCTCATTTTTAAAATTCTTTTTTCTTTTTACTGTTCTGATGGGGTGTTTTTAGCTTTCTCATATTCCAAATTGCTGGTTTGAGTCTCAGTTTCAACTATTCTACTGTTGATTCTCTGTAAATCATTTTTTATTTCAGTTAGTGTACCCTCATTTCTAAATGGTTCTTTTTTATGGTTTTCATGAACTCTTTTATGTTGTTAAAGTTCTCACTAAGTTCATCTACTCTTCCCCTAAATGCATTGATCATCCTTATAACCTGTGTTCTTAACCCTGCATATGGTAGATTGCTTGTCTCTACTTTGTTACTTTCTTTTTCTGGAGTTTTGTTCTGTTCTTTCATTTGAAACATGTCTCATTGTCTCCTCAGAAATGCAGAGTATAGATATTAGAAGCACCCTAGATCCTCTGTCCCGCTTATCAGGCCCTACTCTCACTACCATAACAAAGACTGGAGTTTTGTTCTGTTCTTTCATTTGAAACATGTTTCATTGTCTCCTCAGAAATGCAGAGTGTAGATATTAGAAGCACCCTAGATCCTCTGTCCCCACTTATCGGGCCCTACTCTCACTGCCATAACAAAGACTTTCTTCTTGTCAAATCTTATGGAGACTTTGCATCCTCACTTCTATGGACCACTTGGAGGGATCTTTTGTTTTGGCAGCTGACTTCTTCTTAAACTTCTCAGCTCCCTCCCCAAGGGCCACATTCAAAGATCAGATGTTGCCTTTGAAGACCCCTCTTGATTCTATCTCTTCACCCAGCCTCACTTCTTTAGTTGACAATCCTTTCACTTTATTTTCCCCTGGCATTTTATTTGCATGGTCTCATATATTCAAAGGGTTCAAAAGAGCATGTAATAGAATGTACCTCTGCTCCTTACCCCAGTTGCAGGCTCAATCCCCTGTGTGGGGCATGTAGGAGACAGCCATCAATGATTCTCTCTCATCATTGATGTTTCTATCTCTCTCTCCCTTCCTCTCTGAAATAAATTAAAAAATATTTTTTAAAAAAAGTGTTCACCCAATGCTTCCTGGGGCATCTGGGGTACTCCAGCCCTGGGAAGGGTTCTTCACAGAGAGAATTTGGTGCCAGAAGAGTCCTGGAATCCCACTCTTCTGTCCCCATGAGTAGGGCTCCAAGAAAGCTGTCTGGAGGAAATTGACCCTCAAATTCCACATCTGTCTTGAGGGAAGTGGGTGTTGGTCTTCAGGAGGTAAGAGGCATGGTTTCCAGGTACAAGAAGAGGGAAGGGTCCACCCTGCTGTGGTCCAGGGGGGAGAAGAGCTCAGCTTTCACTTCCCCTGCAAAGGCCCAAGGGAGAGAGGGGAATTTCTGTTGAAGGGAGAAGTTTGTGGCAGAAATCCTACACTTCCATCCAGAAAGAGTCTCCAGGTCTTTTACCACCCAGCAGTTGCCCCCACCTCCAGGCTGAGAGTCAGGTGGTGTCAAGGGAATGTGGACTATTTCTTTGCAGCCCAGAGATGTCGATGCTGCAGTGGCCACAGCTGTGAGGGCTACTGAGGTCTGAGCAAGAGGTTTCTGGGCGGGGCTACAGTCAGAGACTGGTCCCTGGAGGATATTGCAGGAACAGTGTGTGACCTTCAGTGACACAGCAAAGGGGAGCCTGCCTCTGCCTCCTGTCCCATTCTCCAGTCCAACCCATGGGTTTCCTGGGCTAACGTTAGCCCACTCCACAACCACCTTCATATCCTGGAGGTGACCAACAGACACCATCATCCCCTCTCTGGCCACAGGCCCTATCAAAACCTGATGAGAGAACCTGGGGCCAATTCCACCAACTGGGGGACCAAAGGACCCATAGTTGTGCTCTGAGCATCAGATTTTCCAAGATGTGGGGAAGTGGGAATACTTCAGGATAGAAAGAGATTACATGAACCATGACTCCCAATATATGACATTGTCTCTGAATGTGGCAAGTAGCCAAGGGTCCCCAGGAAAGAGCCCCATGGGCCAACTCCACTGTCTTCCCAGTCCAGCGCTGCCCATTTACTGTGCTCTTGGAGATGGTACCCCCATGCCCTCTGTTACTTTTGTCAGGGCTCTGGGAGTCACTCTAGGTGCCTCCCTCCCCCACCCATCACACCTCCCCTCAAATTTCACTTCCTCAAATTGTCTTCCACCTCAAATCTTTCCCCCACAACATGCAGATTTGGTTCTCACCTTCTTAAACAACCACAATACTGTTGATCTCTGGCCTCTTGAACTCCCGCCTTTCCCTTCCACCTCTTTCCCTATCCTGGCCTCAGAGAGACCATGTTGATACCTATATGACCCTGATCCTTTCTTGCTTAAGAATCTTCCAGTTTCCCCATTGACTTCAGATAAAGCTCTAGCCCATCAGCTGGTCTGTCTTCTCTCACTGCTTGAACTAGTTGAAGGTCAGGACTGATTTAATCGTTTTTGTGAGTTTGCAAAGGCGTGAATGAAGGAAATGAGTGGTGGTTTGTGGTGTTTTTGTTGCCTCCTCTAGACCCTGTTCTGCCACTGGTGCCCATATAGGCTATCCCAAGACCCATCCCTAGCGGGCCACCTCCATGAGAGTCCCAAGGCCATGATGGTCAGAGAGCTGGCCAGGTGGGACCAGCTTCTCCAGTACAGATGATGGCTCATGTTCCCAGGACATGGGGGCTCTCGTCCGCCCTTGCTATCTTACTTGGACAAGCCTCTCGCTTCCTCTGAGCCTCAGGGTTCATTTGCCACAGGCAGAAATGGGGCTGGACGATCTCAAAGAGTCAATCATAGCGGACTCTCTGAATCTGAGGTTCCCTCTTCTGGGCTTGTGACCTTTGGTTCTCACCACAGGTTTCCTGTCGGAGCTTTCTCTGCCCTCCCTCATCTGCATCTTTCCACTCTCTCGCAGAGGGACCCGGACCGAGTAGACAGACTGTGTCAGGGCATGAGGAAGAGATGTTGCTGAGGCTGCTGTTGCTGCTGCCGCCCGTGCTGTGGGGAGGTGAGTGGGCCGAGGGGAGAGGGCAGCCCACCTGGGGGAGGCCCTGGAGCTCCAGGCTGAGTTTTTCTCTCTCCCTAGGAGCCCTGGCTAAGGATTCAAGCTACCGGCTGGTGCTACAGGAGTCTGTGACAGTGCAGGAGAGTCTGTGTGTCTTTGTGCCATGCAAGTTTTCCTACTCCAGGATGTTCCCTAAATACCTGCACCAGCATTGGTTCAAGATAGAAGGAAATAAAAAGCGTAGTTTTCTAGTGGCCACAAACAATCCAGAAGAGAAGCTACAAGAGAGGACCCAGGGCCGGTTCTTGATTCCCATGGACCCAGAGCCCGATGACTGCTCCCTGACCATCAGAGATGTCAACATGAGGGACAGTGGGACGTACTTCTTTCATGTAAAATATGGACTCTATGAACATACATATGAAGACCAAATGCTCTCTCTGAAAGTGACAGGTATGGTAGGGGCCCAAAGAAAAACCCCTGGGTGTCAGGTACCAGAAATGGAAAAATGAAGGACCCTGAGGTTGGGTGGGGACAGCCATGACAAAACCCTGGGGCAGGCTGACAGGCCGAGGGGGTCTCACCACCACTCTCTTCACTCCAGCCCTGACTGACAAACCTGACATCCAGATCCCAGGGCCCCTGGAGTCCGGCCGCCTCAAGAAACTGAACTGCTTTGTGCTCTGGGCCTGTGAGGAGGGCACGCCCCCCATCTTCTCCTGGACATCAGCTGCCCACACGTTCCTGGGCCCCAGGTCTCATCATCTCTCCTCTGTGCTCACTCTCATCCCACGGCCCCAGGACCACAGCACCAACCTGACCTGTCAGGTGCATTTTCCTGCCACTGGTGTGAGTGTGGAGAGAACCATCCGGCTCAATGTGGCCTGTGAGTTCTGGGGCAGGACTCCCGGGTCCCTAAGGGGTTGTGGCCAGGGCAGAGCTGGGCCAGGGCAGAGCTGGGCCAGGGCAGAGCTCGGCCAGGGCTTGAAATCAGGGTCCTGATAGTCCACCAGGAAGGGAACCCCCTCTCCTGGTTCCATGGCTGCTGGGGAAAGGCCCAGTGCCCACCCATGGGTGTCCTTCTGTCCCAGATGCTCCACAGAACATGGCCATCCGCGTCTTTCAAGGAAACAGCACAGGTAGGAAGGGGCCTCTGCCCTCAGGGCTGGGAGGGACACAGGGTCTAGGTGAGTTCCGAGCTACGTGGGATATATAGGGGAGGCCAGCTACTGAGGACAGACGGAAGGCTCCTCCCCACACCTCAACTCTCTAAATCTCTTGCTCACCCACAGCTTTCTGTGGCCAAATAAAAAGGAAGCTTGCATCCCTCTTGCTTCACCCTCCTCTCTGAAGTTTTGCCTCCTCCTGCTTCCGTTACCTCCTCTTTGGTCCATGCCTGCGTTTGTTTTTCATATTCCATGTCCCCTGTCCTCCATCTGTGAGGCAGCCTGGGCGATTTTGGGCCCCTTCGGAAGGGCTGAGGCCAGGGGGTGTTGGTCCTCTCCTCAGGGCTAGTATGGACATAGCAAGGAGGAGAGACCCCAGCTTTGCCCACCCCATCTCACTCTCTCTCTCTCTCCCTCTCTCTCTCTCAGCCCTCAAGATTCTGCAAACCACATCCCTTTCCATCCTGGAGGGAGAGGCCCTGAGGCTGCGCTGTGAGGCTGACAGCAATCCCCCTGCCGAGCTGAGCTGGTTCCGGGGATCCCCAGGCCTGCACGCCACCCCCATCACCAGCACCGCGATCCTGGAGCTGCCTCGCGTGGGGCCTGCACAGGAAGGAGAGTTCACCTGCCAAGCTCGGCACAAGCTGGGCTCCCTAAGTGTGTCTCTCAGCCTCTCCGTGGTCTGTGAGTGTGGAGACCCCAGGGGGCAGGACAGCTGGGTTCTGGGGAGATTAGAGGCAGCGCTGACCCTTCTCCTCGCTCCCCACAGACCCCCCGCAGCTGCTGGGACCCTCCTGCTCCTGGGAGGACCAGGGTCTGCACTGCAGCTGCTCCTCCAGGGCCCAGCCGGCCCCCTCCCTGCGCTGGCGGCTGGGGGCGGGGCTGCTGGAGGGGAACCATGGCAACGCGTCCCACGTGGTCAACTCCAGCTCAGAGGGGCCCTGGACCAACAGCTCCCTGAGCCTCCGAGCAGGGCTCAGTGAGGGACTCAGACTCAGCTGCGAGGCCCAGAATGTGCACGGGACCCGGAGCACCGCTGTCCTCCTGCTGCCAGGTCAGGGCCTGCTGGGCGCAGAGGCCACGGAGAAAGGAGTGGGTCAGAGAGAAGGTGGGGCTGGGGGAGGGGAGCTGCGCGGGCACAGGAGTGATTGCTAGGACAGGGCCCACCATCTCCCGCCCAAGCGGAACCTACAGCGGGTTCTGCAAGGAGGTGGGAAGAGGAGAGACTGCGTCCTGGGAGTGGGAGGTGTCATGCTGGGAAGGAAAAGCCCTCAGACCCTGGGGTCCTGGGGCCGCCTGGGATGCAAATGGAACGGGAAGGTGAATTCATCTGCCGAGCTCAGAACCTGCTGGGCTCCCTCCCTGTCTTGCCAAGCCTCTCTGTGCACTGTGAATAGTGGGGTCCTGGGTTACCCAGGGGCAGCACACCTGGGTCCTGGCGTTGGCAGCACTGAGAATGGCAGCGGGCGTTAGGCTGGTGGGGTCGGACCGAACCTTGGTTCAGCAACCTCAGTTCTTGAGTTCTGGCTAAGAAAGAATTCAGAGCCAAGACTCAAAGTATAAATGGAAGTTTGTTTAGAAAGCCAGAGAGTTAGAAGAAGTGATCCGTTGAAGGAGGGGGCTTAGAAAACAAGCTACAGCGGCAAAAGAAGGGGCCCTTGGCACTTAAGATAGAGAGGAATAAAAGGTAATGTCCCTGTGTGTGTGTGTGTGGGGGGAGCAGTGGGGGAGGGGAAAACCTGGGTGTGCCCCCCAGCACACTGGGTCCCCGTCTTTTAAAAAAATATATATTTCTTTATTTATTTCAGGGAAGGGAAAAAAAGGAAAGAGAAACATCAATGATGAGAGAGAATCATTGATCGGCTGCCTCCTGCACGCCCCCCAATGGGGATCGAGCCTGAAACCCAGGCATGTGCTCTTGAGCGGAATCGAACCTGGGACCCTTTAGTCCGCAGACTGACACTCTATCCACTGAGCCAAGCCAGCTAGGGCTGGGTCCCTGCCTTGAGGGTGTTTATCTGGAGGTCTGGCGTTGGGGGAGCATCCCAATAGAATGTTCATCAGGTTCATCAGGGTGTGTCCTTTCGGGGTCATGGTGTCCACTGATTGGTGGGTCCCGGGCAGGGGGTCACTGGTTGCTGCAGCTGGTCCTGAGGTCAGCCGTGGTGTCACTTCCTCTGGCTTTGCTGCTGGTTCTGGGCCTGCAGCTGAAACACAACCCTCGATGAGTTTGACTGGGTTCAGAACCTCCTTGTCCTGAAGGCTTAACGCTTAAGGGCTATTCTCTGTAGACCCCATGACCACCAGCCACAGGCCGGGGGAGGAAAAGTCAGGGAGTGTTAGGGCCCCGAAGGAGGAACGCACGTGGCCAGGGTGGTGAGGGACCACGAATTTATTCCATCATCCACACACCAGGTGGCTGAGCCTGGATGGCTCCAGCCCCCAGTGACAAGAGTTGGCGGCTTTTAAAGGACTTTTGGTGCTTTTTTCTGGGCGGAGACTTCTCTGTGCAGACCCGGAGGAGAGATCATGGAATGTGGTCCCCGCAAGTGAAATGTGGTCTCAGCAAAGGGAATGTCCACAGTGAAATGGCCTGAAAAGCCAGGTCCCGGGGGAGGGGCATCGATTCCATTATTTGATCGGACCCAACAGAAAGGTCACCGTGGGCTGAGGTCCTTGGCTTCCCACTTTTGCTCTTTGCTGGGCATCGGGGTTTTCCTGCCCTGGCGGTTTTCCATACCTGGCCCATCGTCCTCACTCTGCTCAGGTCTGTCTAACTGCCAACCAACTAGGAGGGCAGAAGCACCGCTGACCCTTCCCCTCGCTCCCCACAGACCCCCCACAGAAAGGTCACCGTGGGCTGAGGTCCTTGGCTTCCCAGAACCAGCTCAGCTTGGCAAGGGGGTTGCTGTCAGCAAAGGGCATCCGGGTTTTCCCGCCCTGGTGGTTTTCCATACCTGGCCCATCGTCCTCGCTCTGCTCAGGTCTAACTGCCAACCAACTAGGAGGACAGAGGCACCACTGACCCTTCCCCTCGCTCACAGACCCCCCACAGCTGCTGGGACCCTCCTGCTCCTGGGAGGACCAGGATCTGTTCTGCAGCTGCTCCTCCAGGGCCCAGCCGGCCCCCTCCCTGCGCTGGCGGCTGGGGGCGGGGCTGCTGGAGGGGAACCACAGCAACGCCTCCCACGCGGTCACCTCCAGCTCAGAGGGGCCCTGGACCAACAGCTCCCTGAGCCTCCGCGGGGGGCTCAGCTCTGACCTCAGACTCAGCTGCGAGGCCAGGAATGTCTTAGGGGCCCAGAGCGCCTCTGTCCTGCGGCTGCCAGGTAAGGGGGCCTTTTGAAGTCAGAGGCTTAGGGAGAGAGGAGTGGGTCAGAGAGAAGGTGGGGCTGGGGGTGGGGGGCTGCTGCCTGGACAGGGGCGATTGCTAGGACAGGGCCTGCATCTCCTGCCTGAACAGAACCAACAGCCGGTTCTGCAAGGAGGTGGGCAGAGGAGAGACTGAGTCCTGGGAGTGGGTGGTGTCACCTGAGCTGGTGCTGGAGGAAGGAGCCCTGAGCCCCTCCCGCCCTCAGCACCAGGGCTCCTGGAGCTGCCTGCGATGCAAATGGAGCATGAAGGCAAATGCATTTCCCTCCCTGTCTTGTTAAGCCTCCCTGTACACTGTGAGTTGCGAGGTAGGAGGGGATGAGGGGCTCCTGCGTCCTGGGACCTTTTTCCCCCCCCCCCCCAGCCCCCCCCCCCCCCCCCTCGCAGCTGCTGGGACCCTCCTGCTCCTGCCCTGAGCCCCTCCAGCCCTCAGCACCAGGGCTCCCGGAGCTGCCTGCGATGCAAATGGAGCATCAGAACCTGCTGGGCTCCCTCCCTGTCTTGTTAAGCCTCCCTGTGCACTGTGAGTTGCGGGGTAGGAGGGGATGAGGGGCTCCTGGGGGCAGGTCACCTGTGTCCTTTTTCCTCGCTCCCCACAGACCCCCCGCAGCTGCTGGAACCCTCCTGCTCCTGGGAGGACCAGGGTCTGCACTGCAGCTGCTCCTCCCGGGCCCAGCTGGCCCCCTCCCTGCACTGGCGGCTGGGGAACCATGGCAATGCCTCCTACAGGGTCACCTCCAGCTCTGCAGGGGCCGTGGGCCAACAGCTCCCCGAGCCTCCTGGTGGAGGGTGGGGCTCCACGCTGGTCTCAGACTCAGTTGCCACTTCCTTCCCTGTTCATTAGGCCCAGAGAGCCAGTGTCCTGCTGCTGCCTGGGGCCTGTTGAGGGGGTGGTGCCTGGGGGAGGAGGAGCCCCGACACTGTAGTAGGTTCCCAGCTGCCGTCACCAAATACCTCCAACAGGGAGGCTTAGTCAGGGAGACTTGTGGTCTCACCGTTCTGGAGGCGGGAAGTCCGAGGTCAAGGTGTCAGCAGGGTGGAGTCCTTCTGAGGCTGGGGGTGTGTTGCAGGTCTCCCCTAACTTCTGGGGGGGGGGGTTTGCTGGCAATCCTTGGCGGTCCTCAGCTTGTGTAAGCATCACTCCAGTCTCTGCCTTCATGCTCTCCTGGCGTTCTCCCTGTGCGTGTCTGTGTGCAAATTCCCCCATTTTATGAGGACACCGGTCCTATTGGATTTAGGGTCCACCCTAGTGACCTACATTGTAACTGTCACTTCTGTAAAGACCCTATCTCCAAATCAGGTCACATTCTTTTTATTATTATTATTAAATATATTTTATTGATTTTTTATGAGAGGAAGGGAGAGGAATGGAGAGTTAGAAACATCAATGAGGGAGAAACATCGATCAGCTGCCTCCTGCACGCCCCCTGCTGGGGATGTGCCTGCAACCAAGGCACATACCCTTGACCGGAATCGAACCTGGGACCCTTCAGTCCGCAGGCCGACGCTCTATCCACTGAGCCAAACCGGTTAGGGCTCAAGTCACATTCTGAGACATGGTGGGGTGGGGGTGGGGGTACGGAGGGCTAGGACTGCAACATACAAATCTTGGGGGCACACAATTCAAGCCCTAACAGCCCCGGAGAGAGGGAGCTGGGAAAGAGGCATTTTAAGGCTTGGATGGGAGTGGCTGATGTGTAAGCTCCTCAGTCCTGAGGTCGGGGCCAGGGGGTGTGGAGGGGAAGGGTCTGGTCCAGGGTCTGCAAGGAGACAGAGTGCCGAGTGACCGAGTCCTGGACGGAGAGTGGGTCCACCCACGGGCCAGGCAGAGACAGAAATGGCCAGTTTGGAGGACGCTATGGGTTGGGGTTGGAATTTACACAAATCTCAAACTACCTACAGGTAAACCGGAATCCAGGGTCGGTGGAGTCCTGGGAGTGGTTGGGGGAGCTGGCGTCATGGCCCTGGCCCTGCTTTCTCTCTGCCTTTGTCTCATCTGCAGGTGGGCGTGAGCTCCAGGGACAGAGGGTGGGGCCTGGGGTGGGAAGGGCTTAAGGTCTGGGAATCGCAGAGAACCTGAGCTGGAGGACCCCCGGGCTGGTGGGAAAGCCAGGAGCCAGGGAAGGGAGGTCGAGCGCTGGCATGAAACAACCTGTAATCTACTGGGCCAAGTAGATTGGGGTCTCTTCCCAGCTACTCTATGTCTGGCGCTTGGGTTCGGGGAGCACCTGGGGACGGGACCCACCCACGTCGTCACGTGCTCTTCATATAGACTAGAGGTGGTCTGCCCATTCCATGCCCCAAGTAACAAGGCTGAAATGCCTGGGGTTGTTTTCGTAGAGTGAAGACCTGCAGGGAAAAAGCAGCCCAGCTGATGCAGAGCATGGACAAGGATGTGCACCCAGGCACAGGCGCAGGCTCCGGGGTGAGTGACGGGACGTAGCTCCCTCTCAGTATTATCACTTTGGGATGCTGCCTGCCAGAGGGGCTTCTAGACATTTCAATGTTAGATGCCCAACACTTCCTGGAATTGCACAAGTGGTTATTTAATTTAACTTATTTTTTAAATAGATTTTTATTGATTTCAGAGAAGAAAGGAGAGGGAGAGAGAGATAGAAACATCAATGATGAGAGAGAATCTTTGATCGGCTGCCTCCTGAACACCCCACACTGGGGATCGAGCCCGCAACCTGGGCCTATCCCTTGACTGGAAATTGAACCATGATCTCCTGGTTCACAGGTCGACGCTCAACCACTGAGCCACGCCAGCCAGGCAATGACAAAACATTTTTGTTGTTGTTAATCCTCACCTGAGGATATTTTTCCATTAATTTTTAGGGAGAGTAGAAGAGAGAGGGAGACAGAGAGAAACATCAGTGTGAGAGAAACACGTGTGAGAGAAACACATCCATTGGTTGCCTCCTACACGAGCCCTGACCAGGGCACCGGGCTAAGGGGGTGGGGGAGGGTGGGGAGTTTACAACCGAGGTAGGTGCCCTTGACCGGAATCGAACCGGGGACCCTACCCACTGAGTCAAACTGGCCAGAGCCATGACTACACCTTTTAAAATAAGTGGACTGGTAAACAATAAAACTCCCACCAGTCCCAATCTCAGCCTGGCCCTTGGCTGCTCTCTTCCGGACCCTTCTGAGCAGCTTGGAACCTTTGCTCTTCTCTCCACTCAGGCACATCAGCACCCGTTCTGGACAGATAGCTCTGCGGCTCCCCCAGCGGCTCCCCCAGCCCCTGATGGTGCTGGTCCCCCCGCCAAAGGGGAGCCGGAGCTCCACTATGCTTTCGTCAGGTTCCACAACCGGAAGCCCCAGGGAAATGAAGATGCCAACATCGTGTACTCAGAGATCAAGACACACAAGTGAGGAACTACTTGCTCCGGGTTCCGAAGGCGAAAAACCTGAGATCAACGTGCCAGCAGGCCCGGTGCCTTGGGAGGCCTCTCCGCTCGGCTTGCAGATGGCCGTCTTCTCTCTGTGTCCTCCCATGGTCCTCCCTCTGAGTGTCTGTGTCCTAACCTCCTCTTCTTATAAGGACACCAGATATACTGGACTAAGGCCCACCCTAATGACCTCACTTGAACCGCAGTATCTCTTTAAAGACTCTATCTGGACACATAATTGAACTGTAAGGAGAAATGATGAGGTACTGGGTTTAGGACTTCAACTGGTTAAGTTCATGATTTTTTTCAGCCCATAACCTCAGTGTCTGATTATTTTAAAATTAACGATTTTCTTGGCAATGGTCTCAATCCTTTGGTATAGATGAAGGACCGGAGGACTTGTGTCCGAAAGAACTGAGTTCAAATCCATCTATACCACTTATCGAGTGAGTCAGTTTATTTCTCTGCTGTTCTGCAAAGCAGGGAAATCATCCCTATCTAACCAGGCTGTTGTGAAAGATCAATAAACAGTACCTAGGCAACAGTTAACAAAAGCACTAACACACCCATGGCTGGTGTTCTCAGTGGTTAGAGCATTGGCCCATGCACTGAAGTGTGGTGGGTTCGATTCTCAGTCAAGGGCACCTATGGGTTGTAGGTTTGATGCCCGGCCCCAGTCGGGGCTTGTGTGGGAGGCAACCAATTGATGTCTCTCTCCCACACTGATGTTTCTCTCTCTCACACTCTCTTTCTCTCTCTCTCTCCTCCCTCCCTGCCTTCCACTCTCTCTAAAATGGAAAAAAATATCCTCAGGTGAGGATTAACAAATCTATATACATAAAAGCCTAAGCGACCGGCCAATCAGCTGGTAGCTATGATGCACAATACCACCAGGGGGCAGATGCTCAAAGCAGGAGCTGCCAACTGACAGCAACTTTGCTGAGTGCCCTCTAGCCCTCCGGGACACCTCAGGAGATGTCAGACTGCCAGTTTTGGGTTGAACCCCACAGGCCAGGATAAGGGACTCCACCTGCCGGAGGGACCCCACTCACTCCCCAGACGCCCTTCGAGCCCTGGCACCACCTCAGGTGTGGCCGGCTGGGGTGGGACTGTGGGAGGTTGGCTCCAGGGCATGTCTGGCCCATCTCGCCCACTTCCACCCCACCAGCCACCTTCTAATTAATTTCAATGTGCATGAATTCGTGCACCGGGCCTCTAGTAAATAAATAAGTAAATAAATAAAATGCTGACAAAGCTTTTTGTGACCTCTTTCACTTTCTCTAAAAATCAAGGGAAAAATTATCTTTGGGTGAGAATTAACAAACAAAGAAAAAAAGAGTAGAAAAAAAAGAGAATACATTTAAAAAGACCAGAGTTAGACACACAGCTGATTTTTTTTCGGGGACACTATGAGAAGACCAAATACAATGGAAGGATATCTTATGTCCTGAGAGATACAAATGTTAATTTAAAAGTCCTGCTTATTTAACATTATGTTTTAAGCTTGAAGGTGGAATAAAGATATTTAATACAAACAGAAATGAGACCATTCATAAACAAAAACTTCTCCAAGTAAATTCTAAAAGATATAATTTGGGTATTCGTGATCCCAGATTGAAGCTGAAATATACAAAAAGGAATGAAACCATTATAAAGTGGCCAATATGTGAGCAGAAAGAAACAAATACTTATTATAAAATATAATGATGTGTAGAGGGGTCAAATATAAAATATAATATTTAAATACCATACTATAGTAACATAATTCATAAACGTGTTAATAGAATTTACATTTGATAAAGTCTTTATATTATTCAGGAGAAAATGAAATATGATAAGCTTTAGACTTTGATATTTTGTTATAATCTCAAGGATATTTTTAAAAGAATCGACCCCAAGTTTATCACCTCCAAACTAGGAGAAGTATAAAAGGTTCTGGAAACATTATTCAATCAAACCAGAGAAAAAAAAGAAATGGAAGATTAAGAGAGAGGGAAAAAAGAGAAGAACATATATATAGTACAAATATAAGATTCTGTATTTAGATCCCAATACATTTTAAAAATTGCATTAAACACAAATGGACTTAGTGCTCTCAATAAAACACAAATATAGTCAGGCTGGGGGGAAATGTGCATATATGTTGTTTACAAGAGATCTATGTGAATCCTAGATTGTTCTATGATTGACTTTTTCTGAGAAATACCGACCATCACAAGTATATTAGTATCGGAAAATATATACTTTACAATATAGGTATTAATGGAGATAAATGGGACCACTTCATAATGATTAAAGGTTTAATTTACCAGGAAGGCATAACACTTGAAATGTACATGATATGACAACATACAGCAAAAACTGACAATTTAAAAAAAATAACAAAAAAACGAATCCACATTCCTAGAGGGAATTTTAATATATATTTTACAATCACTGATGAAACACACAGACAAGAAAATCACTAAGGATTTGTTATTATACTACACATAAACAACATCATTAATGAACTCGATCTACAGCCATAGATAGAAAACTTGTCCCAAATGATGAGAAGATATATATTCTATTTGAGCACACACAGTGAACATTCCAAAACATTTTATCATATACTGGGTCATATAAAGCAAAATTTCAACATATGTCAATGGACTGAAATATAGAATATGTTCACTGATTCCAAGGCTATTAAGCTAGAAATCAATAACAAAAGCATATTCTATTTATAATATATTATATATACTAATAAACATAACTATGTATATGTATATTAGTGAAATTTAGAAAATTCCTTATAAATAAGTCAAGGATAAAATAATCATTAACGCAAATTTAAAATTATTTAAAACGAAGTGATAATAAAAATACTAAAGCCCTAGCTGGTTTGGCTCAGTGGATGGAGCGTTGGCCTGCAGACTGAGGGGTCCTGGGTTCAATTCTGGTCAGGGGCACATGCCAGGGTTGTGGGCTCGATCCCCAGTGGGGGGCATGAAGGAGGCAGCCGATCAATGATTCTCATCATTGGTGTTTCTATCTCTCTCTCCCTCTCCCTTCCTCTCTGAAATCAATAAAATATATTTAAAAAATACTGAGTATAAAATGTTTAGTTTTGGAAAACTAAAGTGGTTATTAGAAGAAATATATATAACTTCAGATGTCTATATCAGAGATGAGATTATTTTTCAAAACTTAGGAAAATAACAGTAAAATAAACCAAAAGGAACTTGAAGGAAGGAAATCCCAAATGATAAGAACACACAGAAAAAATATTCAGTATAAATGAACAACATCAGGAACTTTAATTTGATTTGGACACTAAAGCTGACAAAGCTCAGTTAAATCCAGAAATATATATAGAAGGCAAGAGCAACCAGCATCCGGGAACATAAAGAGGACATTACTCTACGTAGCAGCAATTAGACAGTAATGAAAATCCTTAAACCCATAAAGTCAAAGTCTGTAGAGTCAATGAGCAAATGCCCAGACAAATATTCAAACCTTCAGCCATTGTTCAGTGAGTATTGGTTCTCAGGGCCATCTCTCAGCCCAGATGAAATGCAAACCCAATGTACCGACGAAATTCGGCCACTAGGTGGCGGCACCTCAGCGTTCTTTCAGGTTCCCTGTCACTGGGTAACTGTTCACTTCTTGCTGTGCCCACATATTAACAGAACTATTTGTAAACCAAGATAAAAATCTTTCCTCCTCGTAGAATGGGCATAAAGGGACACAGGGCCATACTTCTTCGGAGCGGAGCGAAGGCACGATGAGGCATATAGTTACAAACAGAACCAGCTCTCTGTACATGTGACGGGTAAGGAATGGGATCAAGGACAGGGCACGTGGATGGGTCCTGAGGCCTCCTGGGCCGGGAAGGAACCCATTTCTCTCATCCTGGGAAAACCCCATGGAATCATGGGGGCAGGACACTGTGTTGGATAGAGGTAGAGGTAGAGGCTGCTATTAGGGGGCACCCTCAGGGACCCCGCCTCCAGGACCTGGGTCTGTCTCTCTTTTCTTCAGCTCTGTCAAGGACACCGGACATCCACTTCCACGGGTTCCTAGACTCTGGGCACCCCAAGAACGTTACCTGCATGGAGCCCTGGGCCTGTGAGAGGGGCGCCCCCTCCATTCTATTGGATTGGGGTCACCGTCACTTCCCTGGGTTCCAGGACGTTCAATTCCTCAGTGGTCACCCTCACACCAGGGCCCCAGGACCACGGCGCCAACCTCACCTGTAGAGCGGCCTTCCCTGGAGCTGAGGTGAGCACAGGGAGGACCATCCGGCTCAACGTGTGTGAGTGCTCAGCCAGGAAGGACCACGGTCCCTGGGGCTCCGTGTCAGAGTGGGGCAGGACCCTGGTGGAGGAGACTTGGGATCTGTTCTTGGATGCATGGCTGGAATGAAGGTGAGAGAACACCCAGACCCACCCCCTTGCTCATGACCAGCCCATCCTAGTGCAGGGGGTCAATTACTTATTTCTCTTCCAGGTGGTCCACAGAACCTGACCAATCTCGTCTTTAGGGGAAACGGCACAGATGGGAGAGGCCCTGGAGTCTCCCCACGCCGCCCCGCCTCCAGCCTGCTACAATTTGGGCCCCAAAATGATCTCTACTTACCCCAGAAGTGACCCTGTCCCTTCCCAGCTCAGAACTCACCATGGCACCCTCATCCCTCAGTGCATTTCTGGTGCATGAGCCAGCAATGATCAGGCCTATTGCGTCAGCACCTCTGCACAATGCCACATACGAAGTACTTGGACTTGTGCATATTCCCTCCAGCTAGAATGAAGATACAGCCTTTAGTATATAGTATTCAATCAAATCTTCAAAAGGCATAGCATTCAAGTGAGAGAAAATTAGCGCTAAAATAAAGGCTATACTAGACCTGTCTTTAAAAAAGAGGCTGATAATAACAGAGCTGTAAAAATATTGGCACAATATACAAGTAACTTGACTGCCTTCAAGAAAAAGAACCAGTGTTCTTTAAAGAAATACAACAAAACCAAGCAGTCAAACACCTAAAACCGACAATGTCCACCATCCAGTGAAAAATTACTAGACATATGAAGAAATATGAACCTGCAACACTTCATAAGAGAAAAACTTTTACTAGATGATGCTCAGACATGACAGAAATGGACTTAACAGACAGAGACATTAAAATACTTCTTACAAATATGTTCTATATATTCAAGGATATAAAGAAAAAACATTACCATAATAAGAAAAAAATAAAAAAGATGAAAAACTAAAACACTGTAACTTCTAGAGAAGAAAATACATTAATCAGAAACGCAAATGGTAATTTTTTTTTTCTTTTTAAAAATTGTTCTGGCTTGGCTTCATGGGGTTTGCACATGTCGCTAGTTATTTTGCAAACAACTCAACCTTGAACCCTTTCTCTGCCAGGCTGTTTCCTGCCTAAAATTCTGATGTACACATTTTAGCCATCACAGTCTTCTTAATGTCCAATTTTTGACTCTTCAGTCAGTGAAATTCCAGTCTTTGTGTGTGTGTGTGTGTCATTGAAAACTACCTTCTAGCAGAACAATGGGGTGATTATAAATCTCATCTTGTGTTTTTTATCCTCTCGAGGATCATGGATATTCCCTGTTTGTGTTTCATGTGTAAAATTATATGTTTCCTGCCCTGCCAGTGTGGCTCAGTGGTTGAGTGTTGACCCATGAACCAAGAGGTGCCTGGGTTCGATTCCCAGTCAGAGCACATGCCTAGTTTGTGGGCTGGATCCCCAGTTGGGGGCATGCAGGAGGCAGCCAATCAGTGATGGGTAATGTTTCTTTCTTTTTCACTCCCAGTTCTGAAGCTGAAAAGTTCAAGATCAAGGCACCGGCAGATTAGGTGTCTGAGAAGGGCCCAATGTGTGGTTCGTAGGCAATGTGTTCTCAATGTGTCCTTACATGGAGAAGGCCTGAGGAGGCTCTTTGAGGTCCCTTTCATAAGGGCACTAAATTCATTCATTGAGCTCCACCCCATGACCTAATTAGTTCTGAAGGCCCCACCTCCAAAGGCCCTCACATTGGTGTCTGAGAAGGGCCCAATGTGTGGTTCGTAGGCAACGTGTTCTCAACGTGTCCTTACACGGAGAAGGAGTAAAGATGCTTTCTGAGGTCCCTTCGATAAGGGCACTAAATTCATTCATGCGAGCTCCACCTCATGACCTAATTAGCTCTGAAGGCCCCACCCCCAAAGGCCCTCACATTAGGGTTAGAGCTTCAACATATGGATGTGTGTGGGGGTTGGGGGATTGGGCACAACGTTCAGTCCATAGCAGCGACTGACGCTGTAGTTGGTCCATAATCAGCAGTCATTCCTGTAACCCTAGAATGAGGGGTGTTTGCCCCTTTTGCGGCTTTGACAAGTTCTTGCTTGTGTCTGAGACGTGACTGGAGTAGTCTTGTTCCACCACAAGTGGTGTCTGGTGTGGCATCTGTGATATTGTTCACGTTCAATAGGAGAACATCGGGGCTGGCTATGGGTGTCAGCAGGGGCTGCGTTAGTCTTCCTGAAGGGGTAATTTTGTAAAGTAATGGAGTAAAATGTTAGGAGGTTGGAGAAGTCAAACAGGGATCAGGTCCCAGGCACCCTTAGGTTGTAACAAAAGAATTGGTATGGCCCTAACGGGTTTGGCTCAGTGGATAGAGCGTCGGCCCGTGGACGGAAGGGTCACAGGTTCGATTCTGATCAGGGGCATGTACCTTGGTTGTGGGCTCCATCCCCAGTAGGGAGCATGCCGGAGGCAGCTGATCAATGTTTCTAACTCTCTATTCCTCTCCCTTCCTCTCTGTAAAACCAATAATATATATTTTTAAATTGGTATTTACTTTTGGAAAAAAGAATACTTCACACTGAGTATCAACACCTACCAGTAATTAGCAATTATAATTGATCACAAAGTAGGGAACTTGCAAATTTTTCCCTTTACTGGAAATTAGAGTGAACCAGGTGATTCTCCTACAGTACTTGACTCACCTCCTCGCCTTGTAATAGTTGTTTTGAGGAGAAATGGTGAAGGCCCAGCCAGAGCTCATGCTGATTACATGACCCCCAACCAAGACAAAGAAAAGATGTGACCTGAATGGCCCCACATGCTATAGGCTGTGACTCCCCCAAAACCATATGTTGAAACCTAACCCTCATCCTATATAATAAAGACGTAATATGCAAATGGTCATTATGCTGTGAGCAGGAGGGTGGGGCAGCAAGCTACAAGCGGGTGGTGGAGAGCTACAGGAGGGGGCAGGGAAGCAAGCTATGGTGGGGGGAGGGGGCGGGGGAGCTACAGGAGGGCGGCAGTGAGCTGCTGGCACACAGATTGGTGTGCAGGCCTACTAGTCTATAATAATTCTATAATAACAGTGTAATATGCAAATCGACCAAACGGCTGAACAGCAGAACAATCATCCAGACGACCCACTCTATGACATGCACTGGCACCAGACCAGCCAAGGCAGGTGCAATGCGATTGGTCGGGGGGCCGACATCGCCCCACAATTGTCCCACAGAGGGAGGCCCAGGCCACTGGTCAGCAGGGCAATCAATCAGGGGGCTCTGTGATCGCCCCACAGAGGGAGGCCCAGGCCACCCTCTGTGGGGCGATGGATGGGGGGGCTCCACAGACCAGGCAACTGGGGGTGTGTGGTGGCAGACTCAGGCAGCGCCAGGCCAAGGTGGGTGCTGGCGGGGGTGGAGCCTCGAGGCAGCTGGGGCCCGGAGGCAGCCAGAGCTGTGAGGCAGCCAGGCCTGCGAAGGCCTACCCTTGCACAAATTTAATGCATGAGGCCTCTAGTTGTTTTAATATTAGGAGGTGGGGCCTTTGGGAGGTGACTATGTCGTGAGGGTGAAGCCTTCAAGAATGGTGGCCCTGTACGGGAGCCTCGAGGCAGCTGGGGCCCGGAGGCAGCCAGAGCTGTGAGGCAGCCAGGCCTGCGAAGACCTACCCTTGCACAAATTTAATGCATGAGGCCTCTAGTTGTTTTAATATTAGGAGGTAGGGCCTTTGGGAGGTGTCTATGTCATGAGGGTGAAGCCTTCAAGAATGGTGGCCCTGCCCGAGCTGGTTTGGCTCAGTGGATAGAGCGTCAGCCTGGGGATTGAAGGGTCCGGGTTTGACTCTGGTCAAGGGCACATGCCCGGGTTGTGGGCTAGATCCCCAGTAGGGGGCGTGCAAGAGGCAACCAATCAATGATTCTTATCATCGATGTTTCTCTCCTTCTCTTTTCCTCTCTGAAATCAATAAAAAAATATATTTTGAAAAGAATGGTGGCCCTGTTTAAGAGACCCCGCAGAGATCTCCTGCCCCCTCCACCAGGTGAGGACGGAATCTATGAAGCAGGAGGTGGGCTCTCACAGACACGAACCTGCCCACGCCTTGATCTCGAGCTTCCAGCCTCCAGGACTGAGAGAAATGAATGTTTGCTGGTTGAGCCACCCAGTCCGTGGTGTTCTGTGAGAGCAGCCCCGAGGTCCTCAGACACCACAGGGACACGTGGTGGCTATTTTTTTAAGTAGACATCACATGGTGAGCACATCGGGGTGGCTGTGGTTTTAGAACGATGCTTTGAGAGTGGGATGATACGGAAATGTTTTACATTTGGAGGCGGGTGGGCCTGCAGGGGGCCAAGTCAGGTGGTGGTGGTGACAGTGTCTGAGCTGAGAGGCTCCCCATCCCATCGAGGTGCAATGACAGGGGCCCAGTCATCATTTGTAGGTGCAATGACAATGAATGCAGCATTTTTGGAAGAGCAAAATTTGCAAACGTGTCCAGGCCTGGGAAAGTACTCCCTGCTGAGCTGCAACTCTCCAGGGCTGTGTTCCCCAGATCCTTGGGCCTGGGGTTCCCCTGGAGGGCGGGGGAGGGGGGGGCGAGGTGTCAATGTGTGTGGGTGACATGCAGCGCTCCCTGGGGGCAGCACAGGACACCTTCCTGACTTCACTGAGAAGAAGGGACCCCTCCGTCCCCAGGCCCTTCCCGGACATTCGTCCCAGCGTGGGGGTCTAGAGCAGTGGTTCTCAACCTTCCTAATGCCGCGACCCTTTAATACAGTTCCTCATGTTGTGGTGACCCCCCCAACCATGACATTATTTCCGTTGCTACTTCATAACTGCAATTTTGCTAGTTATGAATTGTCATGTAAATATCTGATCTGCAGGATGTCTTTCCATTGTTACAGATTGAACATAATGAAAGCATAGTGATTCATCACAAAAACAATATGTAATTATATATGTGTTTTCCGAGGGTCTTAGGCGACCCCTGTGAAAGGGTCGTTCGACCCCCAAAGGGGTCGCGGCCCGCAGGTTGAGAACCGCTGGTCTAGAGGGGACACTTACGAACATGTTAGTACTTGGCTGTTTCTTTCTTCCTTCTTCTTTTTTTTTTTTAACCAAACATGGTCCCCTCGAGGCCAGACAGGGTGTCTGATTTGCCTGCATGTCGCCCGTATGCCGCGTGGCACCCGCCACACCCGAGGGCCCAGGGCGTGAGGTTGAGCGGACACACACACTGTCCCTACACAACCCAAACAGACTCATTTGAAGAAGAGGAGCTGGGACAGGGAGACATATGTGGGAGAGTCTATCCCACTCCCTTCACACCTCCCATGCCCTTTACGCGGCCTGCGCCTCCCTCCCACCCCCAGCCTCACCTGTGGATGCAGGTGTCCTTGTCACAACAGGTGTTACCAGTAGGTGTCACCCGATGGCATGACAGAAGAAGAGGAGGAGATGGGAAGTGGACTCAGGTCTCGTGGGTGGGTGCTCCTGGGGGACCAGGGTCAGTGAGCCCCCGCCCCCACCATGAAAGATGATGGGGTGCCCCTGAGACCAGCCTGCACTTGCCAGATTTAGCAAGTACAAACATGCCTGGCTGCTGTGGCTCAGTGGTTGAGCGTTGACCTATAAACCAGGAGGTCATGGTTCGATTCCGGTCAAGGGCACATGCCCAGGTTGCGGGCTGGATCCCCAGTAGGCGGCGTGCAGGAGGCAGCCGATCAATGATTCTCCCTCATCATTCATGTTTCTACACTTGATCTTAGCCAAAAGGCCGAGAAGCGATCATCATTCATGTTTCTGTCTCTCTCTCCCTCTCCCTTCCTCTCTGAGATCAATAACAATATATTTAAAAAACAGA